GAAGCACGCAGTCGATTTCTTTAAGTAAAATGCTTTTTTGAAGTGTTCTAAAATGCATTCCAATATAAAACAGGTTTATTTACATAACCAAGAGTAAATGAAAGTGGCGGTGTTGTTTATAGAAATCAACTGAGGAACTGAAGGTTTAAATACTAGTTAGAAAATGAAAAGTGACCACTGACTGGATGCAATGCACGGCTACTTTATTTTTTCATTTCATCCTCTGACTATATTCTCATATTTATATAGCACCAACACATTGCGTAGTGCTTTGCAGAATACAAGCCATTCACATAAATCCCTGTCCTCCTGATGCGCTTACAATGTAATGTCCCTACAACAGTCATAGAAACCATGTGCAATTTGGGATGTAGCCAATGAACCCTCCAGTAAGTTTTTGTTTTTTAGAGAAAACATAATACACGGGGAAACACAAACTGCAGATTTGAACCCAGTATTGAGAGCTCAAAGATATGTAGACACTTAAAAATTCCTCCCTAAAGCATATTCATAGAACAGACTCTTCTCATGCTATGTTATGGTATGCAAATCATTAAAGCTTCTTTTTCATTTCCTGTAATAGGTGTTATGACTTCTTAGATATATAAAAGGTTACTGAAACATCCTGATGGCTAATATATTGCAAGGTGACTTTTTACAGAGGTTGACAGATAAATGTAATTCATGATTGCAGAGATGTGTACACAGATGGATCTGTAACTGCACCCTGGAAGCAATTATTTTTTACGATCAAATACTATACAGGGAGCTGTTGCAGTGTTACTTTATGAGCAACATTGTTTGTTTTATAGGGACAAAGGATATAATATGGCAGCAGTGTCTGGTTTGATAAAGTGAGGATACCTAGTCAGTACAATGTATTCCATGGTGTAGGTGCTCAGGTGGTACAATGGCCATGGAATAATATAACATACTAAAGCAGTTCATGTGTTCAGTATCAGCTATGCATGAAGGCCTGAGGCTGTACAATGACTATTATGCAGTATTGTAAAGCTACTAAGTCAGTACAATGACTGATATGTAATAAAGTGAAGGTACAAAGACCATGACAAGGTACAGCGAGTATACTTAGGCAGTTTATGATACAGTGACGGAATGAGCTATTACAATGAACTTTGTGGTATTGTGAAGATGTGAAGTCAGTACTATGGCTGATATGTGCTATAGTGAGGATACATGGAGGCGGTAAAATAGGGTTATGTAGTAAATTGTGGTAGTGCGCTGAATTTCGTGAAATACCGAGGCAGTGCACTATGGCAGCACAATGGTCAACATGCAGTATATTAAAAGCACACAGAGGTATTACAATGCCTGAAATGAGGTTTTTATGTGGTATACTTAGGATATGTGTTTGTCCACATGCAGAGGTAGGAAGGCAAAAAAACAAAATGTACAATCTTCATGGAGTTTGCATGTTCTCCCTGTGTTTGGGTTCGCTTCCTCCCACACTATAAAGACATGCTGGTAGGTTAATTGGCTCCGGTCTAAAATCAGCCCTATTAGGTGTGTGTGCATACATATATACATGTAAGATAGGGTCCCTGTAAAGTGTGGCGCAAAATTGTCAGCGCTATATAAATACCTGTAATACATAAATAAATAAAATCATTCTTGTTCTTCCCTGAAACTCCACGTGTTGGAGGCAAAAAACCAATCCACGCCCAGCCAATAATATATCTTCGTGGTACAAAACAGTGTGTCCCGCAAAATAGTACAAGCGCGTTTTTAAAGGCGGATTACGCACGTTTGGGGCTATGGTAATAGCCGCAAATGCACAAAATATGCGCGCATGTAAAAACCGGAAACGCCATATGTGAATGGAGCCTAACAGAGTGCTGCTGTGCAAGAGATGAGAGGAGAGTAAAGAAACTAAAAACATCCCTTGATAACCTTCTTAGCTTTCAAAAACTGGAAAAAGAATTAACAAAATTCTGTTACGCTTTTTCTTAAAATAGTATTCAGCCAAAACATTTTTTTCTGCTAGTTTTTGATTGAAAGGGAACTGGGTAGCAGCTCTGTAGCGTTTTTGCTGCCATTTGTGTCCCTATCAGAAGATTAACCCCTTTTCCACTCCTTTTTGTTACTGCAATCAATGTCCCTGTTGAACAGATTTTTCCCTCACATGTCACGGTGATCACCATCACTGGAACAGGAAGTGATGGAAATCCTCTTTAAGGGCCAGAAAACACCTGACAGAAATGTAACCCTTTCCCACTATATAAAGCGAAAAGAAATATGGGCTGGATTTCCACTTTATCAAATTCTTGCATTTCCCCCCCATTTTCATTCCTTATTGTACTTTTTTTTTCACTCATTGGTAATCACACAGGACTACAAAAAATAAAATTAGGGCCCTTTCACATCAAGTCAATCCTGTCCAGTGTGTTTTATGCATGCATGTTAAAGTACATTGTGTTAGGACAGCCTACAAATCTGAATGGGCTGCTAACACACCACAAAAATTGGATCTGCAAAAGTTTTGGTAACATACTGCATACTGGTAGCGCATTTCAATCTTTTTAAATATGCATCTCTTATTAAAATAATATCTGGTAATCCTGCTATGAAGGTCCTTGTTCAGACATTTCCAGTTTTGGGGTGACATGTCACCCCAACACATGCACTTCCACTATATGTGACCATGCTGACACAGTGCAGAGACAGTATGTGAAAACAGCATGTGTGTGGTACTTTGATCTTCTCTGTTCCCAATAGAAGAGTGATCAGAGTGGCTCGTCGCACATGGAGATTTTGGAACAAACTGACTGATGGACAAATGTGGTGCATGCATGGTCAAACATTCAGAAATGTATTCCCTTCTCACCAATATATTAAATATATTACAAAAAAAATTCTATCATCCTCTGTATTCCAGTTTTTATGAGATGTGCTAGTATTACACTTTAACCCATATTTAATACCTTGGGCCTTCTACTTTGCTCAGAGGGGTCCTTTGTTTGGGGTAATTTTGATTGCAAAGTAAACCACTGAAACCTTTTAGCCCTCAATATATCTCAGAATATATCTCAGAAACAGCAGGTAGAGCACATGGGTAGAGTGTCTTGTTCATCTGAAAAAATAGGTCTATAGATATCTTTTTCTCAATACTATAATGAGACTGTAAAATAATCCCACTAACAGCTCAGTGAAACTGACATCTTCCAATAAAACAAGTGTATATGTTTTACTACCTCAAAAGTACTGTGGGTGTCTGCTTTTCACAGTGGTGTCTGTTCTTTTGAGCACAGTCCATGTACCCATTGCACTCCTGACCGCACGTCCAACAAAGTATCCTGGGTGCTCAGTAGTCGACGGATGGCCACCGTCAAAGTAATGCAGAAAAGAAATAGACACCGGCACTCCAATAATAAATCGATTACGTCTATTTATTGACGTACATCAAAAGCAAAATAACACACTTAGTGCGACCTTGTTCTTTTGAGCAGTCTCAATGTTTTGGTAGTGCTGGGTCACACACAAATATTTTCTTGGTCCGCCTTTAGCTTCCATTATGGCACGCATTTGCCCTGGCATCGTTTCGATAAGCCTATGCACACAACATTTATTTCCACCCCATCATCCAGCAAAGTTTGTAAATGCCAGGAAAGTCCAATCTTACAATATATACAGATCATCTTGGTATGTGTACTTATATGGATGGGATGATTTTATTGGGCTCTTTCAGTCCTCGATAAATTGGAACCACTAATACTCGGCGGCGGAGGACGGAACCAAAGGAGAGAGGTAAGTGCAGGGGGGAGGGGGAGAAGGCTGCACACTGTTTATATGTCCAATCGGCGACATCGCCGATTTCACATGTAAACGAAAAATCGTCTGCCTCACTCTACATTCAGTCCTGCTTGTACAAAGCAGGACTGAATGTAGAGAGGGCAACTTCCCCACAAGGACACCGCTGCCGCCCCTCTGCGCCCTGCCGCCCCGAGGCCGGGCCTCGGTGGCCTTGTGGGGAATCCGGGCCTGAACGCAGAGCCTGGTATCAGATAAAGCCTAACCCCATGAGCTCTAAAAACACACACACGTTACACATGTTTTACAAACAATATATGTGCTAAAACCTGCATATATTTGCAATAAGAGTGGATATAAATGGTATGTGTTGAAAAGTTAAAAAGTGTTGAAATGTAAACCCTTTAGTAAAGGGTTTGGTCTGCATTTACCTTATAAGTTTTTCTTCCCATGTGACTTGCTGCTGTAGCAAGTTTATCATAGTAGGTGCCCAGAAGCACAGCATTTCTAATTCTTGGCGGGAAATTATATTGTAAAGTGCTGTGCAAACTATTGGCGCTATATAAATCCTGTATAATAATAATAATAATAATAATAATAATAATAATGTAGGCTACACTAAGACACAATCAAAAGCTACAAGACCAGCAAATGCTATTTTAGTAATTCCAGAACTGGTTCCATGTTATCAAGATCATACTTTGTATTAACAGCCAACCCATCCAATGAATGCAATATCCCGTTACACTTAATAAGCAACACAAACACAATTTATGTAAAGTTAAAAATGGAAAAATAATTAAATTTACTTTTTTCAAAACAATGCAAGGTGCAACACAGACGCCCTCTGCAACCATATATTTGATTTCATGACCAATATATATTATTTTAAACCCACAGACTGAAAAATGTACCTTTTTCACTTTTACCCAAGAGTTTGTATTTTTTTCTGTAAATCACTGGCAGTGACTGATATCTTTTCCGTAATTAAAATTAATTTACTTTTACAGGTATGATTTGTCATTAGGACTGATGGGAATTCTCCTGCCACACAACATTATAGTATAGAGTCCAAGGCAATGCTAGTCCTCACCCACAGGAACAGTACCATGACTTCATTGGCTAACATTGCATGTATTAATACACCATCCATGACTCCCATGTCCAAATCAAGTCGTCCATCTTTTGTCGTCTACAGGCATTTTCAACGGTTTATTTTTTTAGGTTGAAATATGTAAATAGCTCGATTTAGGTCTTCCACACACTCTTTGTAACCAATGAAATGTACTCTTCATGTTCGTTGTCTCCTTGCGGAAGGCTATTACAAAAATAAATGTGCTGCCAATTGTCTTACCCTCAGGGTGAACTTCAGGAACAGCTTTGCAGTACATCCAAAATAAAGTGCTTTAGCATTGAAAGATTTTTTTTCCACGAGACAAACTGTCCAGCAGTGGAGAAAACAAATAAAGTTGTACCAGGCAAACAAACAAAAAAGTTCCAGTTTGTCTGCTCTTCATTCAGTCCCTAAAGTAGACTTGATTCCACAAAGTAACAACGACATTCAGCAATTTACTTGAATTTCCTTCTTCCAGCTAAAGATCTCAAGGGCAGTGATCCCTCAATCCATTCATTTGGAGTTAGCATCATTTCTTGCCAGGAGGCCACTTCTTCCTGTGTAGAGTCCATCCAGTCCACAGCAATACCATAACTAAAACCTGGAGACACAAAAGGCAAGAAAGTATTAGTATTACACGAATGAGGAGATTTTGTGTTATCATTGAACTAATGGGGGACTCTGGGTTAAGTTGCCATACACGGCTCGAATTTCCCATTCCTGGTGAATCGGCCAAAATTCAAACGGTCAGTAACACCCGACTCTAAAACAATTGATTGAAAAATCGAAAGAGCCAGATTATGTGAAACAATAGCCAGCAAGAAGGATTCCTCCACCCACGCTGTTTAGCATGGATGGAGGAATCAAGTGATTTCTCTTGTTTAGCCCGATCTACATGTGTATAACTAGCCATAAGCTCTACCACTAGTAAAAAAATATAGGAATACAACTAGACTACTGATACTATACAGTGAGGTGCACCTCTGCAACCCAGAACAAATAAAATAAATCTACAACAGAGCATGCAGTTGTTGTGTTTGGAGTACATGAAATACATAGATGGTAAAAAAATGATTTGTGGTGACCAGGACACAAATAGAGGGTTATAGTCTCCCCAGCAGACACTCGGACAGCAATTAAAAACATTAAATTATTTCATAATTGTTATTTAAAGTTTATTGTATTTCATTAACTAATTGCAGTATATTCATTTAAATCCTGACAGATTATTTCTATTCTATTCATGATAAAGGAGGCCTGCTGAAATGCACTGGCATTAGTACTAACCATGAAGAAATATACTTATTCGGGACTAGAAGAATCTAGTGGTGCTTACTTCTCTACCCATTTGAAGCAGCAAACCACACACAGGTCATAACCCTTCACTAGCCTGTCCACAACTAAAAAAGTAAATACAAATATGGGCTTTGTGGCCAGGCTATGGGCATTCTTATATTTATGTGTTTTAACAAGCAGTGCAAGGACTTGAAACAAGTCCTCACTTACCACTGTAGCTGGAAGCACTGTGGAGCAATAGTGATCAATACAGCAAAAGCATTGAAGTCCTACTGCTCCCCCAGCAGTGGCATTGCAACACAACAGCACTATAATATCGAATGTAAACAGAGACCAGGAGCTGTCAAAGTAGGAGCAGAGTGAGCTGCCAAGAGAAGCACCTGAACCACTGCAGTGCATCTGCAGTGAATTGTAAGTATGAGTTGCTATCCAGAGCTTGCAGCTATAGAGGTCAGTTAGGGTTTGTGTTAAAGGGCATTCACTGCTTGTTAAGAATATGTAATGACATAAATGTCCAAAGTCTGACCACATGTTCACAAAGTAGAAGTTCATGCAAACCGCTAAATACACAGATGAAATACATATAAAGGAGCTTAAGCTCCTAAGTCCATGATTAGGTGAAATGCGTCAGTGGGGCTGACCTTTGGCGGGACACAGCGATGCCGCTGTGATTAATAGTTTAATCTGCATTAAACTATTCCAGCCTCACCCAGAGTGCGGCCGGGTCTTTTTTGCTTAAGCGTTTGTGAATTCAGAACGAGGACATGGTCTCATCGGCATCCCCCTGTTGGGCCACGGAGGAGCGGTGTGTGTGTGTTTTGTGCTTTCTACATATAAAAGAAGCGATTTTACCTGACAAAGAATTTGTATTTCTGTCCATCCAGTGCTGAGATTTACGCAGCAATGCCACACACCACAATCTTGTCTAGCAGGGGAGGAGACCTCACTTTTCTCTGCTGCAGTTCAGTGACACTTAAAGGTTTCCTCCCCACTCCCACCATGCGACTAGAGAGTGAAAGAAGCAGCAGACTGATGTGCTCACCCCTGTCACTCTGCTTTCTCCTCCTATTAGTATGATTCTTGCACTGCAAGCACAACTGCAGAGTTGCATTAGTTTGTGTCTTCAGTGATATAATTAAACAAATAGTAGAAATGTAATATCTGTCATTACATGTGAATTCATATTATTAAAGAAAAACATTTTGATACTCTACCTGTACCAAGGCCAAGCCTGATCCCCCCAAGGAAATGATTGTTGAGTTTCTCATGATCCCAAACTGTCAGCTCAACACACGCATCTTTAAGGTCCTCAGTGTGGAAGCCGTCATAGACAATGGTGTGGTTGAACACTGGGTTTGAATCCTTCTTGATGACCCGAGTCTTCTGGTAACTCTTCTTGCTTGTGTCAGGTAATACATAACTATAGGAGGGGAAATGGAATATTTGCCATGAGAAATCTACATCATGATTAAAAGTGGACGGATTTGTAATACATGACATAACTGCATGGAGCTGACCAATCAGTAGGCTTATATTCTGGTGGAGCTCACCAATCAGTAGGCTCATATTCTGGTGGAGCTGACCAATCAGTAGGCTTATATAGTGGTGGAGCTGACCAATCAGTAGGCTTATATTCTGGTGGAGCTGACCAATCAGTAGGATTATATTCTGGTGGAGCTGCCCAATCAGTAGGCTTATATTCTGATTCTATAGACAGTAATTACTGCAATTAGCAAGCAGTGATTTATGATATCCAAAATTGTATCTGCAGTCCTTTAAATCAAGAAAGTCAAACTTAAATGGAAGTGTGGACCAAGCTGAGTAGAATCAATGTTCTATGGATGGTCACATCTACTCAGTTCCAGAAAACATATTTTAGTACTTCTCTGTATGTAAACCCAATCACCACAATCTCATATAACCTTTAATATGCTAAAGTCATTTCAGAAGTAATTTTTAACACTTTAAAATTCCCAGCTCTCACTAAAACAATATCGTGGGGATCCTGCCACAAAAGGATCCTTGTGTAGGGTGACAACGCTCTGTCCCTTTCTCCCACTTGTTGTCCTGCATCGTCTCCTTGCCATGTCTCTCCCCATGGAGGCTAATGGACAATGCAAAGGCATGTTCTACTGTTGCCACTATTAGAGATGAGGCTGAGCTTGGTGTGAACAGAGTTCCCCAAGCTCACTCAAAACTTTGACTGCCATCCCCTCCTCAATCTGTGGTGGCAGTTGCGGCGGGAGCATTCCCTACCCCTTTTTGACGGCTAGCTGTAGGGTGGATCAACAGAAAATGTCCCCTGCACCCCATACAGCCATCAGGACCTTTGATGTAGAAATGGTGCTCGCAGTGATGTCCACGGATGGCGCCGTGCAGCTCCAATGATAATAGCAATGAAGATCACCAGCACTCGCAAATGGAATCAATCCAAAAGTTCTTTTTTATTGTAGAATAACGTCACATGTGTCACACAGCCAACGTTTTGGTCCCTTCATCAGGGCAGGCATAGTGTCACTGATGAAGGGACCCTGCGCGGTTCCAAAACGTTGGCTGTATGACACGTGACATTATTCTACAATAAAAAAGAACTTTTGCATTGATTCCATTTGCGAGTGCTGGTGATCTTCATTGCGATTATAGCTGTGGGGTGGGGAATGCACCTCCCCGCAGCTAATTGAGTCGGGAGGAGGAGGTGGTGGTCACAGTTCTGAGGGAGCTTGGGAGAACTGACTTGGCACCAAGGCAAGCCTCATCACTGGTCACTATTGGGGAAACCCGTCTTAATATGAAAAAGCAGTTTCTGGAATACATGCAGACAAAAGGGGCTGGAATGTGGCTGTGGGAAATCAGCAGTGCTTAGACGCAACAAAGCATGAGAAAAGGATAAAAAGTTATATTTTAAAAACTGGCAACTGTTTATGATACACGGTGCTTTAGCAAACAAGGAGTTTACAAGTACATTAATAAATATAACCTAAATCATTGTCCCAGAAAAAGGGGCAGCATTACATAAATGTACCTTTATCAACCAGAGAACAGCGAGGGCCACCACGGAGGGTCACCAAGAAGGAGCTGGCAAATTCACCAGGCTGACCAGGCCACCCGTACAAAAGTACTTTGCATTTTGGTGTGGTGCGTTTTTTAAAAAGGTGCACACATTTCTTTTGTGCGATTGTCATGCATTAGGCAGCCCACTGAACTCAATGGCCTGCCCAATTGCACTGTACCATAACACTTTTGGCAAATTCTACTTACTACAGAAGAAGCTGGCAAGCCATGGCAGTGGTGGAAATGTGCAAAGAAAATATTTCTACTAAAATAGTACTTATAATAAATAATAAAAAAACCACATTGCCACGGTGCAACTGACACAACAAGCTCAGCAAACATGGAGGGAATTCTCAGAAACCTCAATAAGATCCGGATTTCACTTCAGTGGGAGGATTATAAAACCATATACAGGTATATATTATATAGAAAAGCACCAACAAATACAGATGAGATATGTAGTCTATTTTATTTTTCTTTATTATTGGGTAAAATATGGATATATTTATTTCCTGTTCCGACGTCTAATGAAGGAATTAGAGTTGTGTATAATTTGCTTGCAGCAAATAAATATTGACTTAAATAAAATCGATGGCTCACTGTGAAAAAACACATTTTAAAAAAAATCTTAAACCGGAATGTTGGCCACCTTTGAGACTTCCTGATCAAAAAATTCATCCTATAGCCAGAGGCATGCAATATCGAAATAAGAACCATCCAATAAAACCGCCAAGACTCTGAATGGAAAGTGAAAAATATAGAAGCCGCATAGACAAAAAAAACAGACTTCCCCAAGCTGCCTTAAAATATGCAACTTAAGTAATAATGTAAGGAGAAATCAGGCGATACAAATTACACCTCTAAAAAATAATGTTTTGGCTCAACAAAAAAAATTTACGCAACAGTTTGCATCAAGCTTTTTTAAGTTGTGACAATGTCTGGTAAAATTAAGTGGAAGCCACAAACTACATCGCATAGAGATAATTAGCTTTTCTGCTAGAAATAAATGCATTTTTATTTACCACCCACTTAATTAATGGCGTTAAACACGTTTTTAAGTAGAGTACTCAGAAATAATAAGTTGCTCCAATTAGTTTTTATGAGAAAATTTCAAGTCACATGTACCCAATTGCTACAATTATGACAACATGTGTTTTTAGGTTAATACGCAGTTTAAAAAAATTCAGTTGGCCCAACTTGAATTTCTGTATTAGGCTGGCCATAGCTTATTTTTATTTTCTTTCCTTCAGCCATCAACACACACTGAAGGGAATTTATCAAACTGGAGCAGACAAAATCTGGAGCAGCTGTCCATGGCAACCAATCAGTTTCTCTCTCTCATTTTCAAATCTTAACTGAACAAACTGAAGAGAGAAGCTGATTGGTTGCCATGGACAGCTGCTCCAGATTTTGTCTGCTCCACCTTTAATATATTCCCCCCACAGCGTTGATGGAAAAATCTCTACTGCAACGCTATTGTATTTTGACAGCGAACGAAACAAAAAAAACAACAGTTTGGTTGGTCTGCAAAACCATTACAGAACAGGGAAATATAACATGCTTGTTATTTTCATTAAAATATATTAAAATACACTGTCCCCCTCACACAAATAAAAAGTCCTTTCTAGCTTAGCAGATTTCACAAATGGCACTCTACCAATCCTAAACACTGACACAAGGCAAGGATGGTTCGTTTACATAGCTAAATACAACCAGCACTATGTGTATAGGACAATGAATTAGCCAGAGTTGTTGTTTAACCATTTGTCACAACTCATGAAAGTAGGTTTTCAAATTAAAAAGTTTATTGAAACCAATAAATTAGGAATTTTATCTTGGAAATACGCATTTAATTAAGTGGTGGTAACAGGTCTCTCGAGTGACTTTTTACAGTGTAGAAGTTATAATTAGAACTCTTTCATTAACTCTTATTATGTTTTAGTGGTTACAGATCAGCTCCAACCGTGTGATGGTTGAGCATATGTGTATAGGTAAAACCTTTGTTTAAAGGGGAAATTGAGTTTTTAACTTTCTTAGTAATACCATAGGTCAGTTGTAGCCCAAACTATTTTTTGTAGTTTTGCATATGTGTAGCTCAAACTCAGTTTATAGTATATGTGAGTTTTTAACTTTCTTAGTAATACCATAGCTCAGTTTATAGTATATGTGTAGCCCAAACTATTTTTTGTAGTTTTGCATAGAGTAGGACAGGATTAGATCCTTGGTGTAGTTTTTATTTAATAAGTACATTTGAGAACAGGATGTAGCTTCAGTTTAATTTTCACTAACATTTTTCTTTTTATATTTAAAGTGAACATTAAAGCCAAATCTTAATTTTTTATTTAGTTTTATATAGAGTAAATAGGGATTAGAACCCAGTCAGGTTTGCATTGCTGTCTGTGTCCCTATTAGGTAGATTCACCCCCTCTATTTGTCCTGGTGACCGTTATCACTGAAAGTGTAATTCACAAAGGTTATCACACAGGATTTTTGGGCCTTAAAACATTGCTTGCTTCTACCCCATAATTGTGAGGTGGTGTGTGTGTGTGTATATATGTGTGTGTGTGTGTGTGTGTGTGTGTGTGTTAAGGAAAATATCAGGAGTCTTTTTCGACCCCTAATGTTTCCCCGAAGCCCCTAAATGTCAAGTAAAAAATAAAAATATTTAATAAAAAAATGAATAAATATAAAAAAATAAAAGGTTTATAAAAAATAAAATATTTTACAAATTTAAAAAAATTAAAATAAAAACATTTTCGGTTTTGGCCTGACAATTTTTTTATTTCGGTTTCGTTTTTCAAATTTCTATTTCGGTGCACCTCTAGTCGATATTATTTTAGAAAAACTGTCACATGACAACAAAAATGTATCAGTACTCGTACTTGGGCAAGTACTAGTACTCGCAAAACTGGTATCTGTGCATCCCTTTATTTATATTTATAAAAGCAAAATCACACATTAAAACAGAGATGTACAAATCCCAGGGGCTCCTTACAAATGACAGCTGCCTCCTAATTTTTGAATTTTTCTCTAGTCTAGTCATGGAGCCCGAAAAGTATCTACATGTACTTGTACCGAGTACTGTACTTGGTATCGGTGTATCCCTACTTTCAATACACTTTAAATTCACGTCTCAATCAATGGGATATCGAGGTGTTTACCAAAATGACTTACCATTTCACAAAGGAATCTACCCCAGAAGGACGAAGCTGAGGTAAATCTTTAGTGTCCTTCACCCAGATGTGGACTTCTCCTGAGGATGGGTTTTTTGGACCTAGAGTGTGAGGAAAAGGATTCTTATGAAATGAAAATTGGCTGCCAATATGCACAAATGCCATCTGGGCAAAGTGGTAGCGTGGAGATTAAAAAGGTCTACTTCAAGCGCTAATGTACTTGATATTTCTGATGTGAAAATGCTAAAATCAGATACCATGTCTAATAATAGGACAGCAGCCCCAACAAATCCTGAGAACTTGGATGCCTTGGACTGATATACTTCTTTTAACTCTAGCCAGCCGTAATAAAGCTGCAATGTTTTCTTCAGTGTCAGCTTTGATGGTAGAGTTATGCACTCTTAGAACTACAAAGGCATTTGGCTCTAACTCCCTCAGGCAGTGGCCTCCCTTGGCTGACAATCCATGAACATTCTGCGTCATACTCATGAGCATGTAGAGTAGAGGGGGGACAAGATGGGAGACACTAACATTTGCAGCGAGCACTACTTCTATTGTGTGTGTGTGTGTGTGTTTGTTTGTGTGCGTGTGGGATGGGGTGAGGGTGGGCAGTGATAGGAGTAGGTTAAAAACCGTATTCCATCGACTGTTCCCTAAGGGGGGTCAGGGGCTCCTCAGAGTTAGATGAGCCAAAACAATGACTGAAATGAAGACATCTCCCTGTCCGTGAACCTTCTGGGATTGCTGTGATCACCACTTGAAGCCAACCACAGAAAATTAGGAAATTATGTAAATAGAAATTTGTATGTAAAGTTAGACTGAGTTATTAACTCCTAAATGATGTCTGACTGGTATTCACAGAATACACAGCCTTCTGTGACTAGCCAAGGGGAAAGGGGGGCACTAATGCTTCCGTGTATGACAGCCACAGTGTCACAGTTCAGCTGCAGACTTGCATACCTATTCAAGCTTTAGGCGTCGGCCGACCTCTCCTGCTGTTTCTTATGCAGCTTCTCGGCAAATCAGTGCAGTCCACTTGTGGCCAATCCTGTGGATCCTCCCTCTTCCTGTCTCTATTTAAACCCAGGCCAGCGAACGGCACGCTGCCCGAGCAACGCTTTCCTAAGCTAGTTGCCGTGTCTGTGATTTACCCTGAATTCCTGGAAGTTTTCCCATGTATCGAACCTTTGGCTTGTCCTTGGAAATCCCTGTCTACTGGCTGCCCTGTGCTTCCCTTTTGTCCTTGGAAAGCCCTGTCTACAGTCTACGCTGTACTTCGCTTGGTCCCTGGAAGTCTTCAGCCTGTCCCTAACCTTTGATTTGCCCCCTGTACCTGTTAGGTGAGTTGGGTGGACCTAGGGATTGTGACCCAGCCAAGCACGCACGCAGCCATGCCCATCTCCACCATCAGGAGCTCTGGTGAATACCGTCTGGCTCTTAGATTCCACATCCTGGGGAACCCCTGCCACCTATTCAGCATCCCATGCCACCTACTCAGCATTGCAGCACCCTGCCTTGTATTTAAACTTCCAGCTTTAGCTGACTTCCACTGCCTCATTCAGTTCCCCTGCTTGTACTCCAGCTCTGGGAGTCGTCAGCCTACACTGCCTGGACCCTTTTCTCTGAGGGTCCCTGCCAGTGTAGTGGAAAGGGTCAACATACCGGACTCCAGTTCATACCTGTGAGTCCCGATCCGTGACACACAGCTCTCATAGCTGCACTAGGCTGCAAGTACAGTGCTAGTTGTAGTATCCAACATAAACCAAAGTATGAAATGTACAGTACAGAGCAACCAAATGCACATTTAATATATCTGGCCAGAGGTAACACTTTTTTGCACTTAAAAAATTATACAAATGTCTGTGCCTGTTGTTCTGCTGTACAGGCATAGTCTACCTTTCAGAAAAATAAATATATATACACTTACATTGATGAAAGAAAAAAAATGTGCATTTATTTTTTGGAACCCACAAAGCATTGCAACTGTGATCAGTGGATCACATGTGCAATGCCCAGGCTCTTGCAGACATTTCCCCTAACCCCAAATCCGTAGCAAGGTTTAGACCTTCAGTTATAGAGCTGGAGGAAGTTATCCATAGACTACAAATGCTGTAACATCACCTCACTTGAGATCCATTAACCATGTAGTCTTTCTATTCACAGATCCTTGTGAATTAATCTGTGAATGAATGACACTACTGAGCCAGGCTAAATCCAAATCTAACCAGGAGCCTGCGGGGAGAAGAACCCCGCAATTTAGGTAAGTAGGGGGGTGGTTTGACGGTGGTGAGCTGGGGAATGTGTCCATATTTCATGCTACACCCTAAATAGGGCTGTAACATGAAATATGGTGATAAAGGTTGACTATTATATTAGGCTTCAAGCCAATAAATGTTGAAACTGAACTGTACAAGCTTTCTTATTTCAAACCCATCAGACAGTGCAGCGGCTCATCTACCAAGAGAAACTATCAGCCAATATGTGATTTCACACAATCAGGTCACAGTTCACCTAATGAACTTTTCAATATCAGATTAACATGTAGAGCAGTGCTGTAAATAGCTGTTCTGTAATTACATCCCACTTCTATAAACACAATGTAAAACCAAGACATTCATCATACACTGTCTACTATATATTAGCATATTTAACAGCAAGTCTGCAGTGTTCAGAAAGATGGCAGCTTTCCCAGACCAAGCCCACATCTCTTCAGGAAACGAGGTGTGGAGGTGTTAAACACATGTACATCTTGTTAATACTCTTCTTGCACATTACATATCTCACCAATACTTCCAGGAGGAATGTATCTAATTGACAAGTTCATCACACCAAGATGGTCCACCCCATTCATTGCAGAGAGACTCTGTTGGGTGAAAAAAACAAACAAATATAGTTCAACATATTACAAAGCATAGACCATAATTCTTTTCTTGATATAACAAAATATCAAACAATAACAACATGTCTGTAATATCTTTAGCTCATCATAAAATAGATTCAAAAGTGTTTTTATATTATGTTATCAATTAACTATGTTATTTATTAATTCATAATTATTAAAAGTTTAACATGGGCTAATTGTTGTTTCAATTACAATCCACTAGAGGGCAACCTAGATCAATTGATATATTTCAACTAGTCCCCTTTCAGTGTTTTCCTACAGTAAGTTTGGAGTTTAAATTATACATTTTATTGGATAATTTGAGGTATTAAAGATGTGAACTTCAGGATGCCTTAGATTCAGGTATCACTTAAACTCCAATCTTTCTGCATTAATCAATGGCTACTTCTTTAATATCTATAGATATAGATCTCTCTCTCTCTCTCTCTTTCTCTCTCTCTCTCTCTCTCTCTCTCTCAAGAAGACTTAAGGTGGTGTGCATTTTTGAGAGTTTATATAGGAGTTTCAGGCTTGAGCTTTTTATTTTATTTTGAGCCAATGCAAAGCTAGTTGCTAGGCAAAAAAATGCCCCTAGAAACACGTTACATACATTTTTGTGCATTTTTTAGGCATGCCCATTAAACTCTACTGAGGCCAAAACGCTTGACTCTGCTCCAAATGAAGCTCATGTACTTTTTAGAGCTGCGGTTTGCTACAAATGATAGAACACTCAAATGTGAACAGGGGCCACTGAAAACAATGGGTTTCCTCCTGTTGAGAGTTGCAGCTCCTAGGCAAACGAGCTACAAAACTCTGTGAATGGGGCCTTAATGCTGTGCCGTATGGTCCCTTTAGGGTTTTTACCCAGACTGGAACTGACAGGTGCTTAGCGGACCTCTACATCCATTGCCCTCTTTCTAAATGCAAAAATGATGTGCAAATTTCAGTAAATTTGAAATAACCAGTCAGATTTCAATTTACTATAGCAATATCAGAAAAAAAAGTTAAGTTTTAAATGTTTGGCATAACTAACTGGCATTAGCATGTCTGCTTATTAAATACTCTTGAATGAGAAGTCAGCTGCATCACATTAAAGCCTAATACTTTGGATAGAGTTTTGTACAGAGTTATTTTTATTGCATCTGTGGCCCCACTGGGGAAATTCTATATACATATTCTAATATTCTCCCCTTCCAGTAAAAGGATTCTGCTCAAATGATAATTATAAAGAGATGAGTCTTTCCCTAAAGACTCATCTCTTCAGGGATGCCTATGGGGGGAGGGCGAAAAAAAAATTCTGCCCCGGGCGCCCAGAACTCTGGTTACGCCACTGCACTGAACTATCACTTTCTCAAACAATTCATACCCACACAGCTTCCTCCTCATGTATCACTTCTCTCTCCCTTTTATATTGTAAGCCCTCAGGGGCAGGGCCCTCCTTACCATCTTGTCTTGATTTGTATTGTGATTGTAATGTCTTCCTTATATTGTAAAGCGCTGCGCAAACTGTTGGCGCTATATAAATCCTGTATAATAATAATGCTCTTTTGTACAGACTGTATTCCTGTATTCCATACGTCACCAGTCTGTTGGTAGCAGCACGCAATTTACTTTACATGCAGTCCAATAGCATTGCAATAGCCACTGGTCTATGGACTCCTTAAAGCAAATAAAGTGAAATCCACCAACTGATCTTGCTTACATTTTTAGGAACTATGCTTTGAGGTTTCATGAAACAACAAAAAAGGTTTTCTTTTTAAATGTGGGTTATATGCCAACATACCCTTGGTTTTAGGATGTACCAGTTAGGCTTTGTGTTACTCCAATCCCAGCTAGTGAGGTCAATCTCCAGTTCCCCGAGGAAGCTGTTCCTACCAAGCGGGTCATTATGCCACACAGACAGATTTAATTTCTGGATCAGCAAAACCATTTTTTCAATTTTGTACTGCAATATAAACCAAAGTATTCAGTTAGTCCGTTAACTGGAATTAAAGAATATATATTTGTGTGATGAATAAAGATTTCATAGCCAAGGTAAGTACATCATTGTAAGGCTATTACAGCATAGAACTGTGACAGCCAGACTTTACCTTTCATTTATGAATACAGTGAATGAAAATTCTACAAAATGCTCTAATAGAGATGATATATCCATAATCCGTATCATATCTATGTTTAAAAGAGACATGGTGGCCAATTAAACAGGTTATGTTTAGTTAGTTTTACATCTGTATAGGGTTTTCTCCTTTTTACGTGATCATTATAAAAAAGGAACTTAGGGCAACCAATCAAGATCATTACAAAATGCACAAAATAATTCTATAACTTGAATAAAAAATATAAATCTCTATATGCTTTTTGTTTTTGGATTGGATAAACTGTTTGGAAGAAAAAGTAGTAATCACAGCTCTACAGTATATGTATGCAGTTGGCTAACTAGCCTTTAAACACAATGCAGTTCACTGAACTATCAGCTCCATCCTTACCCACACAGGAAACCAGCAGACCTGCTGAACAGTAACCAGCAACATTCCAGGTCAAGTCCTTTTGCAGGTCAATATAAAAGAATGCTATTTCAATTGTTTTAAAATTGAATCCTGGAAACAATATTTACAGATTACGTCTCTGTGACAGACTGAAGCAAAATGGCAGCATAGGTATCAGTCTCGCCTTCCTAACAGCTGTCCAAGATTAGTGATGGGCCGAACACCTCCGTGTTCGTTTCGTATTCGAACATTCGGACAGGCGAAAAGTTCAAATACAAACTCGAACCTAATGCAAATATATGGGGGTCTAACTTTTGGAAACGAATGTCACCTTTAAGAGGGCTTATATGCAAGTTATTGTCCATAAAAAATGTATGGGGGTCCGGGTACTGCACTACGGGACAGGAATCAATGAAAGAAAAAAAAAAACGTTTTTAAAGGAGCAATGATTTTAACATCACTTAAAGGGTAAAAATAAAAAATTCCTTCAAATATCGTGCCTGGGGGGTCCCCTTAACCTGCTTGTGAAGTGGTGGATCTGTAGGATGTATAGAACCTGCTGCAGCAAAACTGACATTTTTTTTTTACTCTAAAAGTGTGCAGTTCCCCTTCTGAAACAATACCAGACCCTTTAGGTCTGGTAGGAATGTTAGGAGGGACCATTTTGTTAAGCGTAGGGTTCCCCCTAAAAGTCACACTAGACCCTTAAGGTCTGGTAGGCATATTTAGGAGGGACCCCGTGTAAAAAAAAAAAAAAAAAAAAAAAAGGGGGGGGGGGTTTTTTAAAAAAAAAAAGTGTGTGGGGTTCCCCCTCAAAGTCATACCAGGCCCTTAAGGTCTGGTAGGAATTTTAAGGAGGAACCCCACCCCCAAAAATGTGGGGGAAAAACATGGGGTCCCCCCTAAAATTCCATACCAGACCCTTGATCCGAGCATAGGCCTGGCAGGGCCGGAAAGGGGGGGACTCCCCTCCCTCCCGCACCAGGCCACATGCACTGGGAGGGTGCTTTTCCAGGGTCACCCCAGTTCCCAGAGGAAGGTCAATCTCTCCAGCACCTTGTCCCTGTGCCGATGGGGACAAGGGCCTCGTCTCCACAACCCTGACCTGGTGGTTGTGGGGGTCTGCAGGCAAGGGGGCTTATTTGCATCGGGGTACTCCTTTAAAGGGGGCAACCAGATGCTTCCCCCCCGCTTGTGAATAAGGGGTAGCCATTCACTAAAGTGTTCAAAAATAGATTAAATAAAAACACCAGACTTTAATCAAAAATCCTTTATTTAAAAAAAAAAAAAGAAGTAAAAAAATTGATCCACCAACGTAATCCATGTGAAATCACGACGTCCAGCGTTGTCCACGACAACGACGAAATAAAACAATAAAAAATAAATAGAAATGATAATTATAAAAAAAACAAAAAACTCCCGCCGTCCAGTCCTCTCCTCGCCGACTTCTGCCGCTTAATGGCATTTTGACAGATGCCGGCAAAACAAATAATTGGGCGGAGCTAGCGGTCACAGCTAGCTCCGCCCAATTGTGTAGTTTGCCGTCATCTGACAGGCGAGCCCTGATTGGGCAAAGTCTTGCACCTGACCTGTGGTCAAGTGCAAGCCTTTAACCAATTAGGGCTTCAGAGGGCACTTTGCCTTGTGGGACGTTGCGCGGTCGAAGAGACCGCAAACGTCCCACAAAGTTCAGCGAACGCTCGAACACGCAATGTTCAAGTCGACCTTACATTCGACTCAAACCGGCAGCCCATCTCTATCCACGATCTCCTGCAGCAGGGACAGGCTGTGCCTAATGGACAATGCCCTGTAATGGGCTTGGCTCAAGGTTAGAATGTATGCACACACAAAAAGAAAGATGTTTGGACCTTGGTAGTAGAACGCCTAAATCCCTCAGAGATTAGCTTTTTTTTAAATTGTAAATATCAAGAGTTTCATTATAGTTATCAAAATATGTAGCTATACCCCCTTCCAACCAGAAAACAACAGTAAAAGCATTATAATTATAATGTATAGTCCTACCCTTAATACTTCATTGTAAATCGGGTTGGTGGTCTTCCTTTTCACTGAGGTTTTTCTCTTGCCCATTCTAGCTTTGTCTGGGAGAAGGTAGGTCTTGACATAGCTATAAAATATGAATGCGTTGAATGCATATGTTAATTTGTCAAAGTTTCTGCTATTACCAAAGATCATTGGTGAATAATAAAATAAATACATACAGAGATAAATAAAAGGGATGAAGGGAGCGAGAACTAAAAAGGGAAGGGAAGAAAGATGCATTTTAACATGAAAAAAACATCTAATGCTAGGTCCACTTTAAGATTTGACAACCCTGACTAGCTGCACGTCTGCATTCAATTCTGTAGAGAGTAAAGTGGCATTTTACTTTTCATTTTGGTATTCGCTAATAATTTTGGTTTGCTAATAAGTTAACTGTTTAATAAAGGAACTGAATAACATAGCAGGCACCCTGCACAAAGCTCTCAGTGAAAGCTCCCTGCATCTCTGAAACCTAGTGTTCTCCAGTACACAAATACTGATCTGCAAGTTATAGTGGATGTAAACCCTAATTTATATAATTGGGGATTTGTTTCCTGGTGATCCTTGTGGGTCCCTTTCACCCTGTTTCTTTATGACCACACAAGGCACAGAAGCAGATCTGTGCAAGCGTTGTCAGTTTGCATCACTGCCTTTTGCTTGGGAGTTACAGGATGCTGTTATTGTGCACAGCATGCTTGTACCCCCAAGGTTAGTAGGTTGCTGACATGCCCCACTGCCCCATCTGGCCCTGCCTTCCACTTGGCAGCTACAGGACACCCAATGGTCAAGAGGCTGCTGACACGCCTTCCTGCCCAGCCCTGCATACTTTGAATGACAGTGAAGTCAGGAGTAGTATCCACCCCCCATCCCTCGGAGCCCAGGATGTAGCACCTGCATGATGGTCACATGACTGATTGTAAACAATAAGAAAAAACAAGGTATTTACATTCTTTTTGGTTTTTAATAAAAAAAGGTCTGCCTTAGGTTAGTGTTGTACATTGTTAAATTGGTTTAAGATAGCCAGGGTTTACATATATTTCAATGGCTGGCCTGTCCCCTTTCCCCTCTTCTGCTTTACTATTAGTTACTGGGATCACCCAACACATTTAAGTAACAACATTAGGCAGAAGGAGGTGGACCAGCTGTAGACGATTCTGCTCAAAGTCAGTAAATGCATTTATAGAGCACACCTATTTCAGAGGTACAAGAGCTCTTGAGAAAGCTCTTGAGTACTCTTGAGGAGTACTTTTAGCTACCAGGAGGAGCCAGCATTTCATGCCCAAAAGGTTATAACAAGTATATTGGTTTTGCCCCTGCTAGGGGGAAGTGCAACATTCTTACGGTTATACAGATTTCATTATTATATTACAAGTAGTTGTGTGACTATATAGTGATACTTTATGCTTTTTTTTTTTGTTCAGAGTTTCTGCACAAATTAGATGCAATAGTCCTCTAATATCCATTTAAGTGCATGTTCCCTTTAAATATCATTAGAAAAGTATTTTGTAATGAACACGGTGCTGCAGATCAGCAGCTTGGGTGCCATTTATTATATTTGCGTACCACTGGGACTTTCCATGTACGTGCTAATTGCAGAAGAGACTTGTTAGAACAGCTCAAATACATCTCACAATCACCACAGTGAAAATTGACAGGGTGAAGTTCACTGTTTGCATCTATCACATAGAGACTCTTAATCTGGATACCACTTCTGTAGGAAGAGGTTTATTAAAAGGTGCAAGGAAAAAAATGTTTTCAGTGTAATATAGGCCATGCTCCTTCCAGTGACAGATGTCAAATTGCTGCTCTGTCGGGCCAGTTTTATTTTGCTGTCTGCTACCAATTATTGCAGGCCCAAAGTTCGATAAAGTGTATTTTAGGTCAGGAAAAGTGTTTATTTCTATTTATGGTAAATGGATATTTATTTAGGAAAGAAAATTAAAAAGGCAGTTAAAAGAGCTGCCTAAAGAACATTAAACCTATGCAACTCTAGGTGGATGTGACCTTCTACAGACTTAATCCCTTAAACATGCCTATAGGAGTGCAAGGATGTCTTACGCAAAGCCTTAAGCCCTGGATTTTAGGACAATTAGTCCTGTGGTTACTGCATAAATCTTAAAATGAGGAAGGATTAGACTGACTCTAGTCAGTTTTTCTCCTAGTTTTGCATAGAGTGGGGAAGGGATAGAACCTCTGTCAACCCTTTATTACTGCCCGTCTCCCTTAGGGATCTTTATCCTTACTTCGGTTAAAAAAAACACAAAAAAAACAGGAAATGGGATAATTTCTTAACACCTGTCTTTGATGGTAAACAGAAAAGGTAGAAAGGTAAAATCAACCAACAGTTATAAAAACAGCAGTGTAAAAAAAAAAAAAGTTTTGTCTTGAGTAAGGTTATTCCAAGCAGCATAGAAAATCAGACAGATAACTTCTATTAGTATCATGTGATATGTATGGGTCTGCACTATTCTTGAATCTGTGTTATAAAAATTATTTTCCCTCTACATCGGTCAGATCAACAAACCCAAGCAGGTTTCCATCTGAGTGATGGCTGTAAGAAACGTCTGAATGCTGACTTCAAGATGCATCATGTTTTCTGCATAGGACAGAGAATAAGGATCCTGCTAGGAGTGTGTTTGGGAATACTTCTCCTGCATTACAAGCAGGTACACGGAGTGGTTCATAGATCAGCAGATCTTTGAAGAGATCTCCATTCAAACACGCAACAGGAAGTGAATAGAGATCTCTTCAAAATAAGGGGGATGCCTTTTTAGACAGTTGTCACCAGGACAGGTCTTCACATTGGAAAATGTCTCCTTTTTCACTGTTGCAGTGAAAACCTTAAAATACGGAAAAGATGGTAAGCGCACTACTGAGGATATTGATATATGCAGTTAGTAGTATAGGGTGTACGGACTCCTTAAACAGGGATAGGAACCCTGTGTGCAGAATTAACAAAGAAAGACCATGAAAAGAAGCGCTACTACCCACGGATTATCAATTAAACGTTTATCAATTATGCATTTATAATCCGTGGGTAGTAGCGCTTCTTTTCTTGGTCTTTCTTTGTTAAAACCTCAAAATAGAGCATTTCCCATAGTTTTCTATCTAAATGGTCACCACAATATAATGAGAAAACTAAACTAATAATTGGCTGCACGGGCATTTACACTCTGGTCTTATTAACAGGCTACATTGTATTCTGCAGTTTACATATTTTAAGGGCAGTTAAGAAAAAAACAAATCCTTACAGGGGTTTTCCAAGAAAAAAACACATATCTCGTACCTGATTGTTATCCCTACACAATTACACAGAGGAGTCCCTACCTTACACAGCCCCCTAGTAAATAACACAACCTTTGCGGACTACTCTCATATACAACTGTGTATTTTGTGGTTACACCGCCACACCATATTACAGCAGTAGCTGGTGTTTCAATGGTGATCTGTAGTTTTGTTACTTTGAGAAAATCTGAGAAGTTCCTGTGGGCAGAGGAGTCCCAACCTGACATATCTAAATTTTTCCCAGAAATCTCTTTCTACAGCAAATGATGTGACAGAAGATGCAAAGAAGAAAAAAGCATTCAATGTTGTAAATATGAGCAAGCTTGTCAGCAAAGCTGTTCGCTAATATGCACTGATCTTTACTTCACAGTTCTGTTTATGAAGTTTTTTGCTTGGTCTGTTGGCACTAATTTCAGACCTGCCACTGAATAAACAAGTTGCGGAAATGCCCAAGTACATTTTAAAGTCAACTGTTTGCAAATGGAGACATTAATTACACTGCATGCTGCATCACATTTATCAAACAGGTTTCTCCTGTCCTTGAAATATCAAAATGTCTCATAATAGGCACATTCTTTGCTTGCCATAGCTGATGTGCAAATAATCTCTCAGTCACATCAAAGATAATGCTGGATCAGTTTTAGCAATAGACACGTATTGTTCAAGGCAATGGGTGTGCAGAATACAGCTAAGACTTATACATTATCACTAATAAAACCAGCAAAATTTACATTTAACTGCTAAACCAACTTGAAAATTGTGATCAATCCAACAATTAATAAAGTCATGCTACCACCATACCTATGAATATATAACGTACAAAACTTAAAACGTAATTTAAAACACAACCTTGGCTTTAAAGACTAAGGGCTCTTTCACACTAAGTTTATCTCCAGCTCTTTTGAATTTATTTTTGCCCAGTACCTATAAAAAAAATAGCTAAGCATTACTCACCCCTCTCAATGCTCCAGCTTTGCCCTTCACATGCTTCTCTAGGTTGAATGACAGCCAGCATCATTCAGTGTGTACCTGTGAGCCCAGGCTGTCACTGAAGCATCCCCTGGGGTTGTGTCATCATGTAGTATGGGCTCCCTGTACAATGCTGCACAAAACACTGCTTACATGTTGTAATCTAAATGCCATTCTATGCAGCACTGAGAACTGACCACAGCCAACAATGGAGAAGAAAAAAGATGGACCTGTTTCCTTGTATGATGTTCCTGGGTTCAAGGTAAATATGATGCAAATCATATCAAAATTTAGTGCAGGGAGGGGTGCAGGTGTGATGCCTAATGCATTAATTTCAATGGACCTGCTAAAGGAACATATAATGCACATGAATGCAGCGTGATCAATATTTTAAAAATGCATTAAGCTGCAATATCTGCATATCTAAGAATCTGGGATTTGTATATGAATGTGTTTTCATGCAGGAAAATGCTTGACTCTTACTTTAGGAATGTATAGGTGTGAATGGATTAATACACGGCTCAATGCTCAAAGGTTGCGGTGATTTAAACAGCACTAAAACAATCAGAAATTGTATTAACTTATTCCTCTGACTGTGCAGTGATAGTTCCCTTTACTCTCAGGGACAGAAGAGTAATAATAATCGATTATAATCGATTATGTCGATTAGTTGTTGCAGCCCTAAACCCTTCCACCATGTAATTTCTGTATTCAGTTTTTCTGACAAGGAAGCAGACAGTTACAGCAGGTCCTAGGGGGTGTGTCATCTCAACAACAATGTGCAGGCTTTTTACTGCCCCTCAATCTTGTTCACACATCTTAAGTGTGACCTAATCAAGGCCATTTGCAGTGATATTAGAACATTAACTTGCAGTCAGGCCCAGATTTTCAAAACCTCACAGAAGGCGTATGCTGTGGACAAGAGTGTAAGAAGCATTCAACCTTGGCTTTTGATTGGCTGTTGTATTTGTCATGAGGGAGATCACACAGCATGCACATTGTCCAGCGAGAGCGTGAATGCTATAGATTGCTAGAGTTCACTCTGCAAATGTCACCTACTATCTCAAGAGATACATGGCTCTTACACAAGTCACTGAGATATTGTAATGCCCATAACAGGCAAATGCATGTGCTGAAAGGTGGTCATCATAGCTCCTCGTGTTACATAGTAACATGGCAGTTTAGTAACACGGTATATGGAAACACAGTACCTTGGAAACATTGTACCGGCTTAGTTCCACAACACCACAGTGACATGCTATATGCTACTAAGTTATAACTTGTATAATATAGTATATGCAAAATCAAACTTCTATAACATAGTCCTTACAATAACATTGGCCATTAGGTCACTGAAATGAAAGTATATTTCTTTCTGGTAAAATTTTCCTCTGAACTTTTCATGTAGGACCCTAAAAGATGAATTCTGGACACAGATATTACATGTAATGTCAATTGCTTAAAAAATTATAAGCTGTTCAGCCAATTCCACTTCAGAAGTGTTCTCTTTTTGCCAAAGTAAAAATAATTATTAGTTCACTACGTTTCGTATTCATTTGTGGTGATGGTAAGATGTACATGAGAGCTAGCTATAAAAGGTAATACTAACGGGTCTGATCGTCCTTTCTTCTCATCCACCACTGCCAGGTCCTTGCACTGAGCCACATAGATGTGGAACTCCCGATTCTTCTCATCATAGTCAAGAGAAAACTGAACTGATCCCTGTGCATCCACACTGCCAAAATCTCCACTGTACACACTGAGGACACTGTTACTGACCTGCAAAATGACAAATTATTTCACATGTAAGGAACAATAAAGTCCATTGTTAAAATATTTCTGCTCCATCATGTGCTTAGTAGCTATTACAAAACTGGAAATATTCTTTTTGGGAGAATAATCTCACTCAAGTGGCTATGTAAAATGATTTTACGTGTATGTAAGGGTAAAAAAAAACACACATGCAGTACATCTCTACAATACCAGCACATTTCCCTGTGTTTTATACTTTTAAAGGCCATGAAAGTGTAGAAAAAGACCTGTTGATTTGACAGAAATGCACTTAGTCCCAAGTCTTGTTTGGGGATGACAACATATAGCGTTATTGATGAAAGAGTTGTGTCAATTCTACCCAGTTGTTTATTGCTAAACTACTAAAACCCTCCCACTCTCCCAATTTCTACAAGATAGACACTAATTTTCTTTAGTCCAGGATAAGAACTAGAAAGGCTGGTTATGTGAATCCCAATCTTGCCTACATAGAACAACAAATCCTTAGCATGAAGAGCAGTCCGCATACACATATTTCAACTGTATATTTAGCTGGCTGTCTGCAAATTGGCTTAAAATGTAAAAAAAAAAAAAAAAGCAAAGCTGGGTACTTCAGGATAGCCAAGAACTTTGTGTCTGCATTCAGCTTATGTGTAGGCATGTGTGTTGACAGACCAACACAATGGCAAGAAAATGGTTTGAGTCTTACAACAAAGCCAACTACAGAAAATTTGTGTTATAAAACTAGTCTCATTCAATCCCCTTAAAGCCTTGGTGTCTCAGGTGATTTTATTACCTGGTGTATCAAGTGATTGTAATAGTATGGTCTAAATCCAGAAGTACTTACAGAAGAGACTGATGCCATGTCTGAGGAGTTGCTGCCATTACTCTGTGTCTTTCTGTGCCTTTTGAGTTTGAAGCTAATTTCAGAAGCAGTGTCAGATTCCGTCTATAATACAACCAGGAAAAACATATTTAATTTCTTTTTCAAAGTCATAAAATTATTTTTGCCTTAAAAATGGTCATCATGCATAATTGTACAAACATGACTGCATCATCAACTTAGCAAGGTTTTACCTGTGAAGTCCTGCAAGACTCACCTCAGAGTGGAGGGCTGGAGTGGATCTGCTCAGCTCCTTCGCTCGTTCAGGCTCCAGAAGCTGATGGCTTAATGTATTGGGTTTGCTATATGCTGAGACAAACAAAAGAAGGAAATTAATTGTGTGAGACATAACCTTGGGAAAGGCCTGTGTCTGGGAACAAATACATAGAACGTATTTACTAGTGTGCTCCAGAAGGCATTCCTTGATGGTAAAATTTGTTTACCACAATTTACGAACTATATTAAGCCCACAAACTTGCATTTTGACATGCAGCAATGATGTTCTTCCTATAACTAGATAGAGCTCCCTCTAGGTTTTCTTTTGTAATGAAATTCAAACTTGTGCAAGCAGTGACCTGGGATGGATTTGTACATACCTAGTATGGTAAGGCCTCCAGAGGTCTGTCTGACCCACGCTCCATTAGTTGGATTGTCAGTAACACATTGCTGTGTATAAAAAAAGGTTCCAGACTGTCACTAACTGCCAGAGCAATCGATGCTCATATGGTGTACCTGCATAGTTAATGCATTTTTGTTGGTGGTATATTATACTGTGTACTTACACAGTGCACCCACTTTAGGACTATACACCTAGCACCAAACTGAGTAAAGTGACAGACTGCCTGTTCTAGCCATAGTTTCTAGATGTATTGATGCAAAGTGGTATTTTCCATTCACACTGCTCCAGACTGCTAATTTGCTCACAGTGCTTTTTCCACATTCATCACTCTGAATTGGACTTTTCTTCCTTTTAGAGTCCTGAAGCAAACATGCAATATGCACATTTGTAAGTCACATTACTGTGCTTTAGTAATGTGGCAGATTATTATTTTCTTTTAAAGCAGTGGCATGGCCACTGTAAGGCTATATATGTGTCTTATACCTTGGCCCTAGGGCTAGCCAGTCAACTTGCATAGAAGAGGGAAGTGGCACTACTGCAATAGTGGGCCTAACAGTACAAAAAGTATTAATCTATCCCTGGCAATGCTCAGTGCTGAAAGGGGCTGAACTTGCAGTGCTTCTTTCTTATAAGTATACAATTTCTTATTGTTCCACATTAGAATGATCAAGTTATCAAACCAAGCGTACCATTAATGCCCAAGGAGTCACATCAGAAATCAAAAAGAATTACACTGTTATCAAGGAATATACTAAAAGTGTTTTTTTCTGTGCTGTGTGCCTCCCAATCTTTCCCTACTCAGTCTGTCAACAGCTTTTTATAAGGAAACAAAAGGCCTTAAATGAATGAGTTTCACACCTGACTCCACAACTTGTATCAGGAAAAGGATGTGGACAAATAAACAGTGGGTTTGCAAAATAGAGTAAACGTTACGGACTGAATGCTTGGTTTCCTAGCTGCACTGACAGATGGGTACCAGGATCACCTTGTCACTTTCTGCACAGTTTACTCCCTGGTGGGAATTAAAAGACCTATTAAATGTCCAGGAGAAAAACAGTAATTTTGAGAATAAAGGGCAAGTGTTATCTCCAGTGAAGCCTGAAGCGGAGCAATTACTGGAAGAGTCAATAAACTATTTTTGATCCTCATAAAACTTACTTTCTGTTGTTGTATAAATGTTCACCATACTTCTAGCGTTGCCAACGTTACTAGACTTATATGCAGAACCTTCTGTGGGATAATCATCAATGTTCCTGTCTGAAGAGGAAACAGAGTTACTGCATTTCTTCATTTCACTGTATTTTATGATTTTGCTCATAAACCAAACATTTGGCTCAAGCACTTAGAAAAGCCTGTCCCCTGCCAGTATGCAGCAGAAGAGATGACATGCTATATGTGGATGCAATAGCTTCTCTGCAGCGTCCAAAATGTCCCAGCCCAGTCAATCCTATAGCTTTGCGAAAACAACATGTAAGACTGCACACTTTGGTTGTGATGCATCTGGACTTAGCAGTTTTAAACTGAAAGCTCATTTGGGGTTTTTTTTTAATAAAAAAATCAGCTTTATTGTGTAAATACACGATACATGGGAAACATACAGGTGAAACTCAAATAATTAGAATATCGTGCAAAGTTCATTTATTTCACTAATGCAACTTAAAAGGTGAAACTAATATATGAGATAGACTCATTACATGCAAAGCAAGATAATTCAAGCCGTGATTTGTCATAATTGTGATGATTATGGCTTACAGCTCATGAAAACCGCAAGAACCCCAAATCCACAACCTCAAAAAAGTAGATTATTGCATGCAATCAATAAAACAAGGATTGTACATAGAACAATATCGGACCTCTGAAAAGTACAAGCATGCATATGTACTCAGTACTTGGTTTGGGCCCCTTTTGCAGCACTTACTGCAATTACTTTTGCACGATATTCTAATTATTCGAGTTTCACCTGTATATAGGTATAGACCATTCTGAATACAAGCAGTATAGCAGTAGTGGTGTGCCCATGGTGTGAGGGCAATCGTCATAGGGCAAAAACAGCCCTGCCGGGCATATCACGATGTATAAGCATCTTGTACTCGCATGTTTATCTAACAATTTTCAGAGATAAGCACATCGTGCCACTCTTATAACATCAGAAATAGATGATAAAAAACCAGCAGAAGGAGTAAGTCATTCGTGTTTTGATCTGTGGTCCCCCTCGCTTCGGAGATCGAAACGTCAGAGTAAATGATGCAGGTATGACAACTAAATAAATGGGGAGAAGGAGGGAGGCAGACAAACAACAAAGCAGTGCAACAAACG